GTACGTCCTCAAACAGTGTGGCATGATTGACCGTATCAAATGCCTTTGATAGGTCAAGGGCTACCAACACTGTTCTGTCACACGGCCTGTTCTGGTTTAGTCCTCTACTAATATGTGTGGAAATGGCGTGTAATGCTGTTGTGGTACTATGTTGTGGACGGAATCCATGCTGGTGGTTGGCAACTGCATAGCTTCCTCTAATGCTGGGGAGGAGTAAAGCCTCAAGAGTCTTTGCTACTGGCGACAAAAGCGAAATCGGCCTGTACGATTCGCCTTTACTGGCATCCTTGCCTGGCTTCAGTAGCGGGACCACCCGGCCCATTTTCCAGGTTTCGGGCACTATGTGGGTGGCTAGCGACAAATTGAGAACTTTTGTTAAGTACTCGACTCCCGGCGTATCCAGCTGCTTCAACATTACCATTGAGATTCCGTCCGGGCCCAACGCTTTGGATGACTTAGCGTTACGGATGACATTTGCAACATCACCCATCGTAAACTGTGGTGGTTCCTCCTCGGCGGGAAGAGATCTGATACGACGTAGTACTCTTCGCTTCGCCCTATCACTCTCGGGGTGCTCGACAAATTGTCGGTTAAAATATTCCGCGCACCTCTTCGGATCAGTCACCGTTACGTCGTTAAAAGTGACTGAGGTCCTATCATCCTTTTTTCCAGGGTTCGAGAGCGACATGTATGTACATGTTTGAAAAGTGGTAGAGATCCTTGGTACAAAATATGGATCATATCGGACCACTATTTCATATAACACTAATATAGAGGTATATTCCATTTAAAAAATTTTTTATGATTTAGCTGAATTTTTTGATTATTTAAATAATTTTCGTATTTTAGTTTTTTTTTTAACATATGAGCATCTGAATTTTTTTAGGAATCGTTTTTTTTATTGCATAAAAGATGTATTGGAATTGATAGTGCCGGCCATACAATTTAATGTTTGAAGTTTATTTCATGCTAATGTTGGCCGCGACTGCACCTCGAATGGTCCATCACTTAGTCATATTTCCCACACTCTCTCCAACATTTCGGCCGGTATATTACGAATAAATGCTTCCATATTGCCTGCCAATGCGTCAATTGAGGCGGGCTCGTCTGTATAGACATAAGCTTTAACACACCAACAATAAAGACCAGTTCAAAGATCAAATAATAAAAGATCGTACCAAAGATGTTTGACAGTGAAACAAAATGCGCTACGTGCGTGAGCTGTTTAAACCAGAGTTGCCAAAGAGATAATAACTAAAAAAAAATAGCCTTTATTATTTTTAATAATTCCCCTTATACATATTAATATTTAAGTGTGACACCACAGAAATTAAAAAAGCCATTCAGTGGATTAATTTGGAAGACATATTTGATCTTACTATTCGAGTAATAGTTTCAGAAAATTGTGGAAGGGACTAAATTATATAGCCTTGAAATATTTATTTTTTTCAAGAGATTGATGTGTTTCATATGATTGATATTCCTTTTTGTTGCTGTCATTTTAATGATTTGGATTTTTCAAAAATAATAAATAAATATATGTTATATTTTTTATAATCTTTTCAACATTTTTATAATTTATTTCCATAAATATTTCAGAAAATTGTTTATATTTTTCAAACGGAAAATAATTAGAATTTCCTCTTTCTCACGTATCTCCAAAATAATTGATGCTTCTGTTTATTTTCATTTCTGCCAAAATTATAGTTCCTTTTCATATTGAAATAAGCTATTAACCAATATATACACACATATGTAGGCAACAGCGACGCATTATTTAGTAAAAAAAAAAACTGTACTCTTTTTTCAAATAATGATATTTCGCTAGATATGGTAGAAATGTCAACTTGTCAGTTTTTGGCATTAAATTTTAAATATATAAAGTTAACTACATTAAAAAACTACACGAAAATTCCATAAAACAAATGGATATTTCATTGAAAACTAAAATGTTGCCCGCCATAACAATTTAAGTATCCAACATTATGTTTACTCAACTACAAATTACCAAATAAATCATTTGAATAGCTTAATTGCCGAAAACTAATTGTGAAGAATTAATTTGTGGAATAAAAAAACAGTTTCAATTGTTTCCCGCTATTTTTTGTGGATGTTATTTTTAAGTTTGAAATATATTTCATTCGAAGAAATATCCGTTTTGAAAAATTTTTCTTTGACGAGTGCCATACCTCTAGGAAATACATATAAATGTACGTGACAGCTATTCCTTAAAGAGTCATCCACATAATTTTAGATTTAGTAAGCTATATTTAATTTGTTTTTGCCCCCTTTTTCCGAGGGAGCGAGAGATTAAACAAATATAGAATGCCTCGATACCTTTTCGAACGAACGAAAGAATGAAAAAAGTTCATTTGATTCATAGCTTTGGAAAAAATATTGCATTTCTTCTACATATGTATGTTTTCGGTGTATATATGTAGGTATATGTATATGTAGAATAATATATGTCGACTACAGAACAACAAAATTATTATGGTATTTTTTTATTTGGAAAAAAATAATTCGTAACGAATGAAGAACAACAACAAAAAAGACCACTGATGTGCTCCACCTAGACAACGAAAAGAAAAATATACAAAGATGACCGACAGAGCGAGCGACGAACAATACGCATGGAATTAAATACACTAGAAAAATAGGCAATTGAAGCAAGGAAAAATTTAGTGATGGGTATCGAGAGGTTAGTCGGTTAATTAATTTAGAAAGAAAATCTCTTTTATAAAAATATGTAAGACATATTCTATAGTTTCTATTTCAATTTTCTATGAATAGAACCTCTTCAATGGGTATTATATTGATAGAATACCTAGAATAGGTCCTTAAAAATCCTTCTATGGATAGAAGAGCTTCAACAGGTCTTTCATGGATAAATTAGGTTCCATGGATAGAGACCTTCAACATGTCTTCTATGTATAGAAGACAATACATATGTTATCTATGGGTGGAGGTTTTCAAAAAATAGTTCTAGAGGTTTTCAATAGATAGAAGGCCTACAAATTGGTCTTCCATGGTTAGAAGACCGTCAACAGATTCTCTATGCAAGAACGATCCTCGATAGGTCGTTTAAAAAATAATTTAAAGCATTCTTCAGAAAGATAACATATTATTTAAAAATCCGTATTTAGCAGGCTTTCTACAGGCCTTCTCAAGCATCGTCGTGGTTTCAAAGCCTGAATAACCTCAACAGGTCTTCTAAACGTAGCCGGTTTTCACAACCCTTTTTATACCCTCAGCCATATGGCTATAGAGGGTAGATATAATTTCAGAGGCCAACACATGCCTAATCGAAAAAACTTCTTTGGACCCTAGGTCTCTTTGGACCAAATCCGTTACAGGACATTTGGAGTAGGTCTAAGGGTAGCCGTCCGTCCGACTGTCTGTTCGGCTGGCTCTCACGATAACTCGCGAAGGAAGTATCCGATTTTGTTCAAACTTGGTACATCGTAATATTATTATTAGACTTAGATAGAGTTCGGAGATGGGCATTATAGGTGCACTTCTTCTGGTACCTCCCCCACAAAATTTTCATAGAAAATAATTTAACTTATAGGACAAGAAAGGGTCATTAAATTTGGTTCAAACTTTTGCACAGGCCATGTGCGAAAATTCACAATATAGGCCCTCTCTGTCAAGTACCTCCCCCCACAAAGGGTCAATATTTTGAATCATTATAATTCTTATAAAATGTGAAATAAGAGTCCGATTGTCTTCAAATTATGCAATTATGCTCAATATTTCTACCAGCATAAGATCTGGTATGAAGAACAGACCACTCATTCTTGTACCACAAGATTTTGTATAATCACTAAGCTTATAAAACGCGAAGTGGGTATCTGACTCCTTTAAAACTCGGCACATCTAAGTATTTTTTTCGTCAATATATCTGGTGTAAAGATTGAATATATCGTCCTACTACTTCAAGTACCTCCACAACGACGGGCAAAAATTTCGAATAATTATAACTCTCATAAAATGCAAAACAAACATCCGATTTTCTTCAAATTTTTACTCATTCCAATATTTTTAAAAATACAAAATATACTGTGAAGTTGGGATATATCAGCCCACTCTTAACAAAACGCTTATCATTTGCGAAACAAGCATCCAATTTTTTTCAAAATTCACCGTTCCAATATTTGTACTAACGGTAGATCTGGCGTGATTATGATGATATCGGCCCCCGCCTTCGGATGCCTCCCCAACAAAGGGACACAATTTTCAATACTTATATCTCTCATAAACTCAGAAGCAAGTCAGAGAATTTTTCTCTCAAGCTGAGATCTGATGTATTCTGAATTATTAGCATAAAATTGGAAATACATGTGGACTTTTTATAAATTGTGCATATCCTAATATATTTATCAGTACTAGATCAATTGGAATACTTCGGTCCAAAATATCAAAATAGCACATTTCACAAATATTATCACATATCTGATATAAAGGAGTAAAAATCTGTCATATTGTAATATTTATACCAGACTTAAGTCAGATGCGAAATGGACGATATTGACCCATTCCTTCGGAACCTTAAGAAGTTTTTTGAAGAACCTTCGGAAGTTTTAATAATCGAAACACAAGTCAAACCGATACTTTTTTAACGTGTTTTAGATATGGAACAGTCAAAAGATAGAAGACTCTCTACTGCTCTTCTCCTGATAGACACTCTAATAAAAAAAGTCTTTTTAATGGCCTCCCACAAAAATAAAATAACCGAATATCGAACATCACTACGACACATGCAAAGAGGAGTTCGCTGTCAGTATGGATTTTTTGTACAATAACAAACACCAGACCACAAATAACAATAACAACAACAGCAGCAGCAACAACAAAAACAACAACATCAACAATCGTTGATGCTTTTTTTAATAACTTGTTCTCTCTGCTTTCTTCAAGAATATTAAAATGTGAACACAGAATTTTCTTTTTTTTATTTAATTTATTTGCTGTTGTTGTTGTTGGTGTGTTGGTAATTTTGGAATTTATTTGATTGTATTTCCAACCATTCTGCCAGCCAGCCATCAGAAGAAGAATTTTCCAACGAATCCCAAATATTCAGTTTGAACGTGTCAATCGCTTCGAACGGTTTTTCGAACAAACCAGCCAGAAATATTTTTTTGTGAAAAGTGCGTTGATAAAAAAATAAAATTATTAAAAATTCAAAAATTCAAATTCAAAACTGAAATTCATACAAAAATAAAATAGACAAATAAGACAGTTTTTTAAAAAATATTATAATACCAATAATGTTTAAAAACAAATTATTTTTAAAAAAATATATTATTTTTAAATTAAAAAAAAATAAAAATTGTAGATTATAGATTTTTTTAAAAATTACATGATTTTTAAATTAAAAAAAGAAATTAAAAATTACGATTTAAATCAAATTATTAAAAAAATTAAATTAAAAATTGAAAATAAAAAATACGTATAACCAATATACTCAAAGAGTGTCGCATCTCAAAATTTCAGTTTCAAGAAAAACGCATTTTTAGTTGTCGATTGAAATTTGACTTTCCAAATTAAAAAGATTATTATACAAAAAAAAAAAAAAAATAAAAATAAAATAAAATAAAAATAAATAAATAAACAATATAACTACAGAGACAATTATTTTTAAAGAGGTCACCAGATATCAGTGCTAAATTTTTGTGCAAGATCAAGCATGGTTGAAATACTTCAAATCTACTTTTATTGCTTTATGTCCAACTCCAAGTAAAAGAGATCTAAAAGTGATGATACATAAGCAGCTTGACATCAGGGCATGGCATATTATTATCAAATTAAAAGGAAAAAACGACGGAAGTATTTAAATGTGCCTCTGACATACCTTTATGATATGCCGTTCCATTAACACCACCTTTAATCCTTGAGTTCTACATGAATATTTGATAGAAAGATATAGTATTCGAAGAAAAAATTGAAATTGCTAACTCAAATACGTATTTTTTGAGTTGTGGCACACTTTGAGTAAATGAGCGATACGTTATTTTTAGTTCGATAATGAATAAAAAAAAAATTCTATTAAGTGATTTTAATAAAAATAATTTCCATTTTGTTTTTTGCAGAATCACCCACCCAACAACAAAATCAAAATGAGTGAGGCCCACAACTTGATGACCACCTTCCTCATCCTTGCTTTCTTGTTGACCATCATGTACGTCCTCTACGAAGTCGTTTTCTAAATTCAATCCCAAGACCCAACATGAATCCTGATTACATCGCATAATTGTCATTGGCGTCGTCGAGTTGTGTTGTTATGATTAATGGCATTTACGTCGTCGTCGCCGTTGCTAATCATCGCCCCCTCATCACCATGAAGACCCCCATCCATCCATCATTCTCGTTTGTACTTAAAAACCGTTGCCTTTTCTATTAAGAAGAAAATCGAAATTCCAAAATTAAGATGCAGTACTTTAAGCAGCTAGTATCTAAAAGGATAAATTTATATTATTTTTCGTCATAGTTCAATAAGGATAACAAAAGGTGAGTGAAGTTGTTTATTATATTTTAAATATAAAAAAAAATGTGGCAATTCTTCTTCAAAACACAAAAACCTGTTAAATTCGTCAGAATGTGTAAAAAATAGTGTCGTTAAAAAGTACTTTACAAATTACAATTTCTTAAACTTGCAAAATTATTTCACCAAAATGACTTTAGAGTAGATGCTCTGTTCCAGAACCTGCACTGAACCTGTTATTATTCAAAAAAAAATAATAATAATAATAATAAATAAATAAATACCTTTTGATACACGAGAAACAGTAAACCAATATTCTCTATGATCGCTCCTGACCTAAGTTTGATATAAATATTACCACCTACCATGTGAGAATGACTCTATTTCCACTTTTTAAATTTTGTGGAGCAGATGCAAGAAAAAGTGGACGAAAAGTTCCATATTTCATTTTTACATTTGTCCAATATACATAAAAATATTGAAATGTGAAGAATTTAAAGAAAATTGATTAAGAGAGTTAGGTTAGAGGAGGAATGGACCGACCGTTTTATCAGCATTATCCGAAATTTTGGGAAATTCTGACTTTGATTTCCCAATCGAGGAGAGTAATTATTGTTCAAAATGTTCGACTTTTGTGGGGTAGAAATCAAGAAAATATGTGTTAATATTTCCTATGATCGCTCCTGATTTAGGTTTGATTGGTTTTATGTGAGATACAGGGTGAGTAAAAAAACTGCAACAAAGTCAAACGCCATAATTTTTACATTTTTTTTTAATTTTTATTGAATGAAAGCAGAAAATGTCGGAAATAGCATAACATTTTAGAATAAGTTTAGATTTGTTCGAAATTTGGCCTTCAAACGACCAATGAAACCGTCACACGCTGCCCGAATGTTGCTCGGCGGTATTTTGGCCCATTCCCAGCGAGGCGCTTGCTTGAGGTGATGGACACTTTGGTATTTCTTAGTGTCAACCTTGCTTTCCAAAATACTCCAGACACAATAGTCCAACGGATTGGTATCCGGATATTTTGATGGCCATTGTGTGCTGGAAATGAAGCGAGGAACCTCATTTTATAACCATTCTTGGGTGGCGCTTGCTGAGTGCGATGGTGTTGAGTACTGTTGGAATGTCCAAGGTCTGCGGCCAAAATGTTTGCATGCCCAAGGCTTTAATACACCCTCCAGAATATTTTCGCGATAATGTTCGGCATTTATTCTGATGCCACGGTCGATTAATACGAGTGGAGAGCGACAATCAGCTTTTATGGCGGCTCACATCATCACTATGGCTGGCGCTTGAGTTCTGGTGGCCAACCGAAGGTGCACATTTTCAGCTGACCTCTTTGGCAGGTAAACACGATAATTTTATTTGTTTACAAACTGCTGGACAATGAATATTTTCTCATCGGAGACGGAGAAAACCAAATTTAGCAGTTCACCACTTTCGGCCAAGCGAAGCAACTCTTTAGCTCTTTTGAGTCTATTTTCTTTCTGTTGGACATTCAATTTCTTTACCTCGCGAGCCATTTTTCGGCCAATGCGACGCGGGTTTCGATCAAGTCCTTTCTTTACTTTTCTGTTGATGTTGCTGTTTTCTTCCGTCCACTTCCTTGACGTCGGGCTACGCTACCAGCATCACGGAAACAATTAATGGTACGAGACACAAAAGATTTATTCACATTTAAATGCTGGAGTGCTCTAACGATAGCCACTTGTGGTTTTCCAGCCAAATATAAATAAATCACACTATTACGCTTGAATTCCATCACGAATAACTTTTTTTCAGGACAATTCTCATCAAAATGCATTTGTACGCTTGTAAACAATATAATGAGCTGTCACTGGAATAATTTTAACAGCTGTCGGACTTTGAAATGACAGCAGTCTGAAGTTGGTTGCAGTTTTTTCATATCATCCTGTATGGGAGATATTCTATTCTAATAATTTCAATGGGGTTTGTCTTGGCCCAAATGAATGGTTTGTGGAATATTTCATCTCAATCCGACTATAAATGCGACCTCTACTTTGATTAAAATAATACATGGACAGACAGAGGGTCATGCATCAATCGACTTGGAATGTGATTCTACATATGCAGATCATTAAAATGAACTATGGGTCTATTTCATGTCCTTTGAATGCTACAAACAAATGCACAAAGATATAATACCCTGAAACACAGTGTAGCGTAGGACTAGTTATCTAGCTGGTCCAGAGGACCAAAGGTCGTTCGGTACTTTTTTATGTGCTTTGAAATATTCGAAGTAAAATTGAAAACCATCTGAGGCTTATAACTTGCTGATATTTAGAATCCTTTCAAGTCAGTTCACCGGACCCATTTTTGTATTTTGTACTTGGGCGCCAGAATAAAATTACATGATTTCGGGAAAGTAGACCACAGCTCTTAGACCACAGCTCCAAGTTTTCCTTATCGTGCAGAACTGTGTTCGTTTAAATCAGGACAACGTCTCGCTCTAGTTAAATAAAAAATGCCCATGTGTTCTCGTTGTATTATCAAGAATTTTGTAATAAACATTTTTTCACAACACCCTAGTGTACATACATAAAATAAAGCACTCAGTATTGGCCATTCATTAAAAATAAATTACGAAATATTCAATTTAAATTACAATGGAATTTTAAAATTATAAATGGAATGATTTAAAACGATATTTTGGCCCCTTGAACTAAATTTTAGCCAAAAACCGAAAAAAACAACTCAACTACATTACTGGCTACTGGCCGAATGAAATTTATTTAAATAATTTTTCTTGCTTGACGTAAAACAAATGTTTATTAAATGTGCCGGCAGGCCCACAAAACTACATGCGTTTGTATGAATGAATGTGTATTCAAGTAATACACCAGACATTTGTGTCTTGTGTTGAAGCAATATTTGAAAAAAAAAAAGTTTGCAGAAGACTTTTCCTTAAGACAAAAAAAAAAAAAAGAAAAAAAAAACTACTGAAAAGCAAATTATCCAGATCAACTAATTGTGCGGCCAGCCAGAGAACACTTGAATCCACCCGCAGTGTATTGAAATTGAGCGGTGCCGCTAAATGGTATACATTAACCTTCTGTTTCGCTTTTTATTATTTGGAACAGACATTTCGAAATGTTTTCTTTTTTTCATGACATTGTTGGATACGTATCCGTTTATATGTACATATGTATGTATGCATGTATGTTTTTTCTCCCATTCTACCTATTGAGGCATACGTGCCAATAGACATCAATCCCCAGCAACCCCACCACAAGCTACACATGTATGTTTTTTTTAAATAGCAATACATACATATATTGAGAATTTATGTTTGCCCGTCAATCTTTTTGGGGTTGAGAAAAAAAATATAGAAAAAATTTGTCAACTGCTGATATGAAATTTTTTTGAGTGAAACGTGCGCAACTTTTCCATCATTTTCGTTGGCTCGTTATTTTATCCATCGGATTGCCGGGAAAAAACATATTGAAACATATATATGTATATGTGCAACTTACACTGCGCTACAGTAATGGTTTTATTTAAAATTGGGATTTTTAAAAATTCTAACATAAGTAGATAATACGATTAACCATTTTACCATTGCATTTGCAGTATGTTCGTATGTTTTCGTATAGCTGTCCAATATTACAATACCTCCCGAAATTCGGTATTTTGATGACATTATTCACCGAAATTGTTTAAAATTTCGTAATGGGAACTAGAACCTATGACGGAAAATTGTCTATGCAGGTCCTTCCGTCTTCTTATAGCCCACATATAACGGTTCCTACCGTTTGGGTGGTATTTTTAAATGGATTTTTTTTTGAAAATTTCCAAGGTATTAAAAGTTCGACCCCGCCGAGCTTAGCAGATTTTTTAATTGTTTCTACCCAAATCGGAACAACCACACACTACGGCTGTCGTACTTAGTAACTTAATTTTCTCATTACCATGTAATGAATAACATAATTTTAAAATATAAATTGCATAACTTGTACTAAATTTTCAGATTTTCAAAGTTTTATATTTTTTTTATTCAAGTTTTTTCTCTTTTGGGAAAGAATATTAGGAAAATGTTTATCTTTTACACCAAAAGGTGTTCACAATCTTCCTTCTTTAAGTTTACCGATTAGAATATTACTAAAAAACATTGTACAATGGACCACATCGGCTTTTGCTGTCAAAACTATTTAAAAGTCTCCACATGTTTACTTTAGAAACCAACAGTGACCTCAATATCACATTTCAGTATTGCAGATCTATCCCATAACCAAAAAATATGAAATTTTGTATATTTTGGTACGAATATCCCAAATAATCTGCACCTGTCCTTCTAGATCTCAACAGTGGTATCTGTATCAAATTACAAGATTTCAGTTCTATTCTTTTACCCAATACCAAAATTTTAGGCTATTTCCAAACACACTTTCATATCTAAATTCCAGATACCAACAGAAACCTCAATACCAAATCTCAAGGACAGACACCATCAGTAATCTAAATAAATTAAATAAATTAACACCACAACACCCCCCCCCCCCCCCCCAAAAAAAAAAAAAAAAAAAAAAATCCCAAATTAGTACATTTCCGTCCAATTAAAGTACATATTTACAAACTCACTTCCATTTCTCAATTCCAGACACCAACAGAGACCTCAATATCAAATTTGAAGATTCAAGACCTATCCCTTCACCTGATACCAAATTGAGTACCATTTAGTACTTTTCGTACAAATATGGGACGCATTTCCAAACCATCTTCAAATCTCAAACACAGATACCATCAGTAATCTAAATATCAAATTCCAAGTTTTTATCTCTACCCTTCACCCAATACCCAAATGAGTACTGTTTAGTACTTTTCGTACAATACCCATTTGGGAAACCACTTCCATTTTCAATTCCAGATACAAACAGAAACTGACTTTAATATCAAATTTGAGCATATCAAGGATTCCAGGCCTATCCCTCTACCCAAACCAAATTTAGGGCCATTAAGTACCATTCGTACAAATTTAGGACGCATTTTCAAAGCAACGTCAAATCTCAAGCACTGATACCAAAATCAAATTTTAGAATTGTATCTCTATCGCTTCACCCAATATCAATTATAGTACAATTTAGTACGTACAATTAGAGTACATATTCCCGAAGCCACCACCATATATCCCGGCTACATATGAACAGCGGCCCTACGACAAAATTTCAGATTTCAGGCACTATCTGTTCACCAAGTACCTAATTGTACCAAATATATTACTGTTTAGGAATTTTCGTGCACTTGTCGAACATATTTTCAAAAGTACCACTTTATCACAAACCTACCACCAATTGGAACCCCAATACAACATTTCAACATTTCTTCTTAATCGGTTCACCCTAAACCAAACTTTTCCTAATTTAGTAGCATGTAGTACAGTTCGCACACTCAGAATGCATTTCCAAAATCATCTTCACGTATCAAACTTACTTTCAAACCAAAATTCTCAAAGGAAATTTCAAGTTGTAAGACGTTTCTGTTCACAAATGGTACAATTTCAGAAGATTAGTACAATTTTAGATCTTTTCATGACCTTAGAGTTCGAATTTCCAAAAACCATGTGGTAAAACCAAAGTCCTAGGTCATTCCGTTTGTCTCATTCAAAGTATTTAACTTTTGGTACTTTTCGTACCCTTTTAGTACGGATTTCTCAAAAGCCAGCCTTATCACACGCCTACGCACCAAGTCTGATCCTCGTCCAGTTTTCCAGTTTTAAGTCCTTACCGTTCACATAATACTAAATGGTACCATTTCAGAAGTTTAGTACCATTTTAAACTTTTCGTAAAAGTTCGAATTTAAAAAAACCCTGTAGTACCTTTATCCCTCACTTTATCAGTGAATCTCATTCCAAATTTATAGCTCATTCCGTTTGTCCAATACAAATTATTAAATATTTAGCACATTTTAGTACTTTTGAACCCACTTTGTACGAATTTCCAAATGCCTTAGCTCACGCCTATGCACCAAGACTGACCCTCATGCAAAATTTCAAGATTCTAGTTTCAGCTTTTTCGTCTGGACGTTGATTCTTAGTCAGTTAGTTATTCCATTACTCTCTTATAACATTTTTTCAAATTCAAAAGTGTGCCTGCAAAGCCGAGGCGTCCATCTGCTCGATGTCTTGTTCCACGCATAAACTCATTCTGCCTAATTTTAAATTTAAAAATTTCATTCAAGTTAGGCCACCCTTTTTATTGATCAATTTTGAAACTCAATTTTAAGTTTAAAAATTCGAAAGCACACAAATCGATTAATAACGATTTTAGATTTTTATATTTGTTTTTAGCCAAATATATAAGCAGATCAAATGTTTGACTTCCGAATCGAAAATGAATAATTCAACTTTTTTACAAAATCAAAGATCGTTTGAGATGTTGCGGTGAGGCTACTGAATTCCTTGCATTTTTTACTCTTTTTTACTTTAATGTCCCTGTAATGAGATTTTTCTCTCTAAAGAATAGTTTAATTTTTCAACACCTTTTTTCGAGATTATCTGCTGTTGAAAATACCAATTCACTTCATAGCTATACAAATTTCAAAACATTTCAGCACAGTGTTTTTATAGAAACGTTCAGAATTTTTTAAATTTAATATGCCATCGCACTCGCTCTGTCATTTTTCTCCCAGGGCTTTCATAATCCGCTAGAATTGAAACGTGTCGAGTTTTATTTTCATTGGTTTGTTGTTGTGATGTTTCACAATGAAATATTAACAATTTATTGCTGGATTGTATTTTTAACAAAAAAATAAGAACAATAAGAAAGGAAAGGCCAAAATAAACAAATAGCGCCGGCCAAGAAGTTGACTAATTTTAAAGAAAACAGGCATAAACAAATATATAAAACAAGGAGCACTGCCAAGAAAAATTATGTTCTTCAAATAACATACATATATCTAAAACAAATAAACAGCAATAATTTTAACAGCAACAAGAATATATAATAATAAATATTTATGCAGAAAAAAAAACATATTAATTAAATTGTATTTTTATTGCATTTTTCCAGTTGACGTCATGTAACCGCATATCATCAACAGCATCAGAAGCAGCTTTTTGGCGGTGTCTTTCCTTTTTTTGGTGCCACCCACAAAGGTAAGCAGACAAAAATTATTTCCAAATTCAAAACAAAATAATTAATTACGTATTTTGTTTCTTTTTATTCCGTTTCAGGATTATGTCAACTTTTGTATTTTCTTTTTTTTTTTCAATTTTTTATTATTAAAAATAATAATTATTGTTTATAAGTAACTTAACATTTTTACTGTAGCTTTTGACTTTTGTTAAAGTCGCACTTCTTTTTGTTTCTAATTTACTAGTCACTAGTATTAACATTTATATATTTTACATTTATGTATATTTTTTATGAAAAACCCAAAAGAACAAGACCATCTTTTCAACAATCGGAAACCAGGAACTGTAATTTTGTTTTAGCATCAATTTCGTTGAAAAGTGTTCGAAGTGAAAATGTCATCTCCTCACCCTGGAAAGAATAAAATTTTCTGAAAAACAAATGGTATCTGTGTAAAAAAATTAACATCTTAATTTTATTCTGACCTCTTGACACTTTTTATGTGGCGAAATTAAATAAAATTACATTTAAAAAAATTCGGAATTGTGTTTTATTTAAAATGAACTTGGAGCAGAGTAAAAAACAAAAGGTTTTAAAACTGGGTAATTTATAGAAAAGGAATCAGATGTCGAATTTAAAAAATTGAAAATACCCAGGGAAATCTTGGGATTTGTATGGTTATTTCTTAAAAACTGACAAAGTTATCGAACTTACTTATGGTATTATCAAAAAATGAGTAATGTCGGAAAACAGTGTGCTCTCCTGAATACGAAACCGAAGTCGGCGGGAAACGAAGAAATATATATGTATATAACCGAGAATCAACGCTCAGACGAAACGGCTGAACCAAGAATGTTGAAATATTGCACGATTTTTGGAAATTCGTACTAAAACAGTACGAAAAGTACTAAAAATGTAATACTTTGTATTGGACAAATGAAATAGGATAGAATTCTGAAATTTAAAAATTAGAGTAACAAAAGGTTTTTGGATATTCGAACTTTGAGGTTACGAAAAGTTCTAAAATGGTACTAAATTTAAAAAATGGTAACATTAGATATTATTTGAACGGATAGAGCTAAAACCTCGAACATTGGTGTGGGAATCAAGGTAAGTCTGATATATGGAGGTGATTTTGAAAATGTGTACTAAGTGGGCGAACTGTACTAAATGATACTAAATTTGTTTAGAGTAAACGGATGAAGCTGATATATTGAATTTTGTATTTTTGGTTCGTGATAAAGAGGTAGTTCTATAAATGTGTACTACAAGTGCACGAAAAGTACTAAATAGTACTGTATTTAGTACAATTGATCTGAAATTGAAATTGCTCTGAAATTTGGTTATAAATTGTTCGCATTTCATGTGTAGCCTGGACATATGGAGGTGTTTTCGGAAATGTGTGCTATAGTTGTACGAAATGTACTAAATGGTACAAAATTTTGTATTGGGTGAAGGGATGGAGATAAAATTCTGAAATTTTATATTAAGATTACTGAAGGTATGTGTGTTTGAGATTTGGTGGTGGTTTTGGAATTGTGTACAATAATTGTTCGAAAAGTACTAATGGTACTAAATTGGGTAATACTATAATATTAGTACAATTTTATGGAGAACATATAGAGCTCGAAATCTGAAATTCGGTATTAGGGTCGCTGTTCATGTGTAGCCTGGACATATGGAGGTGTTTTAGGAAATGTGTACTATTATTGTACGAAAAGTACTGGTATTTGGTGAAAGGATAGAAATACAATTCTGAAATTTGATATTAAGATTACTGATGATATCTGTGTTTGAGATTTGGCTGTCGTTTTAAAATGAGTCCTATATTTGAGCGAAATGTACTAAATGTTGTATTGGGTGAAGAGATAGGGCTGGAATCCTCAAATTTGATATTGATGTCTTTGTTGGGGTGGTTTTTGGTAATGTACTATAGTTGAACGAAAAGTACTGAATAGTACTATATTGGGTATTTGGTGAAAAGATAGAGATAAAATTCTGAAATTTTATATTTAGATTACTGATGTGTGTTTGAAATTTGGCGGCGGCTTGGAAATGCGTTTTGTATTTGTATGGTACTAAATTTTTTTATTGGGTGGAGAATAGAGCTGGAAACCCGAATTTTAAAATTGAGGTCTCTGGTATTTGGTAGTGAGAAATGGAGATGTTTTTGGAAATGTGTACTCCAAGTGTACGAAAAGTACAAAACGGAACTAAAATTTGTGTTGGGTGAAGGGATATAGCTGGCATCCCAAACTTTGATATTGAGGTCTATCTTGGTATCTGGGTTTGAGATGCGGAGGTGGGTTTGGAATTGTGTACTATAATTGTGCGGAAATTACTAAATATAAAGCTGGGTGAAGGAATTGAGCTGAAATCCTGAAATTTAATATAGATGTCGCTATTGGTGTTTGATGTTGAGAGATCAATATGCGCACTACAATTGTAGAAAATTTGATATCGGATTGGAAAATGGAGGTGTTTTGGAAATGTGTACGAACAGTACAAAAAAGGAATACATTAAGTATTGGCTGAAGGAATAGAACTGGAATCTCCAATTTTAATATAGAGGGCTCTGTCGGTGTTTGGGATTGAGAAATGGAGGTGTTTTTGAAAATGGGTACAACAGTTGTACGGGATGTACTAAGTAGTTCCAAGTTTGGTATTGGGTTAAGGAATAGAGCTGAAATACTGAAATTGGATATAGAAGTCAGTATTGTTGTCTGTTGATGTTAGAAGGAGCTGCTTTAAGATATAATTACTATAATTTTACTAAATAGTACTAAATTAGGTAATGGGGGAAATTACAGAGCTTACACCCCGGAATTTGATATTGAGGTCACTGTTGGTTTTTAGGGTTTACATATGAACGAAAAAAAAAATGGAGCACTTTGCAATAGTTTTACTAATATCCTAAACTTAACAAGTAAAAAACTGTAAGTTCGATCGTGCCGAGCTTTGAATACCCTACACCATTTGGAACGAATTTGGCAATTTTCAAAAAAATAAAGTCCTTTCTATTAAAATCTTAAAAATACCGAATGTAGCCGTTATATTTGGGTCTATACGACGACGTTTGTCATAAGCCATAAGGATACTTAAATGCGAAACTTGAAAAAAATATCGTTTAATAATGTAGCTAAAATCATCAAAATACGGAATATCGAGAGGTGCCGTTATATGGGGGCTATACGAAGACGTGGACAGATAATTTTCTTTCATTCCGGTGAACAATTTCGCTAAAATCATCGAAATACCGAATATAGGGAGGGTCCAATGCCAATACCAAAAGTCCTGCAGACATAATATACATTTGAGTAAAATTTTATTTCGTTCGGAAGCTAGAGTGATTTCTACAGACGGATAGACGGACGGACATCGCTAAATCTGCATAATTTTAAGGTAATGTGGACCTAAAATGTATATATTTTGAGGTGTTACAAACGGCATGAAAAATTTAATGTACCCTCCATACTATGGTGAAGGGTATAAAAATGCCTAACACGAACTGTTGGAAAGAATCTAAAATTTTAAGGTCGACTTTTAGCTAACAAAGTATGTAATAGTATGATAAATATAAATTCAGGAATGACAGCTATCGAAATGGTTCTCGTTTTTCGAATAACTATATAATGGTATCTTTCACTTTAGGGGTCTAAGCCAGACATTTTAATGCATATGACACCTCCTTCCAAAAATGTCGATATTGTACTATATTTTCCTTTGCTGAAATAAAATTAAAATCTCTTTCCAATAACTTAAGATATCACATTCTCTTTAATTTATTTTCGGAACACATATACCATATGTTCCGCTCATAAATATTTCTGAAAAAAAAAATGAATTTTATTTATTACCGCAATTACAACAAGTATCTGCTGCACAAGGTCGTTTTTTTAAATAACCTTTGATTTATGATGACGTTCAACAACCGTAGCAATGGATGGAGAAAAAACATTAATTGTGTCAATAGCTAGCTACCACAACGAAATAACCTCATTTAACACTATTCGGTTAACGTTTACAATGGAGGGCTTAAGTGAAACTTTTTACCAAAAAAAACTCAAAAGATACAGATACCCAAAAAATTAAAAAAAAAAAAAAAACATTACTCCATGTGTATGTCTGTTCATGTACAAATCGCAATACCGGCTTAAACCTCATACGCGACTACTTCAATGGTAACAAAAACATGTTTCTTGTAAGGTTATGTTGTTTTTACCAAAAAAAAAAAATAATATTACTTGTTTTTTTTTTCTTGGTGGAAAATTTTGTGAACACAGCAAAGATTCGGAGTTCCAAATCACACAACAACAACATTCAAGGGCATTAAACACTAAGTACAGAACCACCGAATAATGTTCGATGCTAAGTTCTGTTGGCCAAAAGTTTTTAATGGTTGAGTTCACTCAGCAATGTAAGCATATAATGTGTCTTTAAATGTAATTACTTTTAAATGACTGTCAATCCCACAATCATTATGTTTGGCAGGCAGGTATGAACGAACACACGGCGTATATACTCCAACCACATACATCATTGCCGAGTGGTGTTTGTTAAGGAAATCTATTCATGCAATACCGCCGCAACAATCACAGCTGCATGCTAGATGTGAATGCAATCAAGCGTCAATCGATGCCAATTGCTTCCTCCGGCTTGAAGTCGTAGCATCGACAAACCGACCGGCGGACCACCACATGGAAGTTTAACGGTCAACGACTTTATTGCCATTGTTGTTGTTGTTGATTTTTTCTTACAGATATTTTTGTTTTTTTTTCTTCTACATTAAAACTGGTTACATACGAAATCGAAAGTTTAACAGAAAATTATGCAACAGTCAGGTTGAGGCTTTTGTTGTTGTCTGTTTCAGGTGATAAAAATGCAATGATGAAACTGGTCTTGCATTTTTTGGCTATGTCAGTGGATTTCAGTACTGTAGAAAAGTAAATAATGAGTTGTTATTAAAATTATTTTAAAATGTGTTCTGAAATATTTCATAATATCCGTAATCCGCAGGTTGTAGGAGTTTCAATATCTTTGGGCATGGGTTTCGGAATCATGATAAATTTTGAATATATGGTTTCAGTGGTATATGATGCTTGCTTCATTATAATGGGTTTCAGATCTATGTTCGACGGAAGAGCAGAAAATTGTTCCGAGATGTATGATGTTTCAATATACATAAGACCTATGCATGCATAAAGCCTAACTCCAAACAGCCATGGTGGTTATTGAATTATGTTCCAGAGTATGCAACTTACCGAAATAACGGCCATAGACCCTATGTCTCTTTGGACAACATTTTTAGACCCTCAGCAATATGGCTAGAGATATACACCCTATCTTTGATACGGTCAAAACGTGCCTCATCGAAATAACGGTTTTAGACCCTAGGTCTCTTTGGACCAACTCCTTTTACGGACATTTAGAGTCGATCTAGAGATGTCCGTCTACCTGTCTGGCTGGTGCGCCGATGAATTTCGAAGGGAGTAAACGATTTGGCCCAAACTTGGGACATCGTAATACTACTTTTAAA